CACTTGGATTACACAGTTCAAATCTGGTCACCGTATTACAGAATGGCTATAGAATCCTTGGAAAGAATTCAGAGGAGAATGAAAAGGTTAACCCCGGGCATTAGGAATCTTGAGTACAGAGACAGGTTAAAGCATCTTAATTTGCACTCCCTCGAGAGATGTAGAGTGAGGGGCGAAATGCTAGAGGTGTATAAATGGAAGTCAGGGCTAAACAAAGGGGACATAATGTACTCAAACTCTCCAACCAGGAACGAACTCGTAACAATGGTTTTAAATTAGAAAAAAAATAGATTTAGGCGTGAAATAGGCAAACATTGGTTTGGAAATAGAGCAGTGGACTAGTGGAACAAGTTACCAAATATCATCATTAACTCTAATACGCTGGATAGCTTCAAACAATGGATGGATGGATATACGAGCAATAGGGATTGGGTGTTAATGGGACTGCCCAGTATGGGCCAATAGGCCTGCTGCAGTTTCCTCCATTCTTATTTTCTTATATCCTCTTGTGCATGAACCTATGTCCTATGTGGCAGTGATCAGTGATACCGCCCTCTGTGACAGTTACCTGACAATAACTCGGATTGGGTAAAATTTTTTAATGTAGGATGAAAAATTATACACATGAAGAAAGTAAGTTTACTGTAATTAGGCTTTTATTTTTTAACATGTCGAAAAATCGTTACTAAAGATTTTGTTTTAATTACTAAAGAAAACCTAACCTAACCTAACTAGTTAACCAATATTATAACTTAATCTTAACAAAAAAGTTATTAAACAAAACAAAATCTCTCTCTCTCTCTCTCTCTCTCTCTCTCTCACATAAATAGTCTGTGTTTGTCGAAGGTGCACAGAACGTTTTGAGTCTCAGAAATACTACTTGGCCTTGGTAGCCTGTTGCTGCCTCGGGCAAATATTGACGCGACGCTAGTACCAAACAGTCTATGAGTTGAATAAGTAGCTGCTTCTCCAGCTGAACGGGAACACAGTATAGGCTTATGTTCCAAATGTTCCCGAGTCGTGTTTTCCTGACTTAGTATTGAAGTAAAATTAATACAGTGTATTGATTCTATTAGAATTTATCCCAAATGAAGGCAGAAGGTAAGATATGGCAGCATCAACACGGGTGGTGGTGAAACGTTTTGAGCCAATACAGTGTTGCCAATTGTAGGATAATTCAGCCTTATTTCCTAGAAATAGCCTGTTCCTCACCAGACCTTACCGACCAGTTTCCTATAACGCACCACGAACTAACAACAGCACTAATGAAAGGTGAGTCATCCTCCCCTGGTGAGGATGGCATAACCTATAACACCCTGAGATTGTTGAATGAGATCCCTAACCATCCACTGCTTGACCTGTATCAAATGAGCCTCACACAGGGTATTCTGCCTAAGACATGGACTCATGGAAACATAGTTCCAATCACTAAAGCTAATTCTCCAAACTTCAGGCCAATTTCACTTACATCCTGTATGTGTAAAGTCCTTGAAAGAGTTGTTCTAAACCGTCTCATGTTTCAAGTCAAAGACAAACTCGCCCCTAATCTGTACGGGTTCATGCCCGGGCGTAGCACACAGACATGCTTTGCAGAATATCTTGTTCACTCATTTATAGTGTCAATGAATATGATGCATTCTTTGTGTACGAACCTCTGTCCTGTATGGCAGTGAAAAGTGACATTACCCACATGAATCTGACCGACGTATATGTATGTATGTGTGCGTGTGTGCATGTATATGTACGTGTACATGTATATGTGTATGTATATACGTATATGTATGTATATGTGTGTGTGTGTGTGTTTACATATAATGTATATGTACTGTCAATGAATATGATGCAACTCTTTGTGTACGAACCTCTGTCCTGCATGGCAGTGAACAGTGACATTATCCATATGAATCTGACCTCTATACATTTATAGTTGTTAATGAACATGATGTATTTCTTTGTGTGTGAACCTCTGTCCTGCGTGACAGTGAGAAGTGATACCACCCTCAGTGTCAAGACCTGACTGAATTACTCAGAATAGGCAAACTGTACTACAAGCTCTGCCAATAAATTTGTTAAACTAAAAAAAAATTTCCTAGTCTGTAGGGCGGTATATACTGTATATGCTATATACCGGTATATAAATTAAATCAGTACCAACTAGTATAGTAGTATTTTCATACTGTATGAAATGTAGGATAATTTCAGAGTCTGAGTTTTAGAGTAAACTATTACAATAATAAGGAAGAACATTCAAGCAAAGTTTCAGGAAAATTTCATATAATAATCATAGGCGCTACTGTACTTTTACCGAAAGTTATTCGTCTATTAATAATATTAAAGTACAAAGAGAGCGAGAGAAAGTGGGGGGTGAGTACAGCGACCTTAAGTAAGCTGACCAGTTTAGTTGGTGCGTTCGGATCTGGACAAGCTATTTAAGTATCATAAATTCGCATTATCACAGAAATTATAAGATATGACATCCCTTCTTTGAGATACATGAAGGTTGATATTGTAAATAGTGGTTCTGACATGATAAATACAGTACAGTGATTTTTGTATTGCAGTAGAAACTTGGTGAATAAGAACATAAGAACATAAGAATGGAGGAAACTGCAGGGGGCCTATTGGCCCATACTGGGCAGTCCCGTTTACTCCCAACCCCTATTGCTCATATAAGCATCCAACATATGTTTGAAGCTATTCAGCGTATTCGAGTTAATGATGATATTTGGTAACTTATTCCATTCATCCACTACTCTGTTTCCAAACCAGTGTTTACCTTTTTCACGCCTAAATCTAAATTTGTCTAATTTAAAACCATTGTTACGAGTTCGCTCCTGGTTGGATAGTTTGAGTACCTTTGTAATGTCCCCTTTGTTTAGCCCTGCCTTCCATTTATACACCTCCATCAGGTCGCCCCTCGCTCTACGTCTCTCGAGGGAGTGCAAATTAAGATGCTTTAACCTGTCTCTATACTCAAGGTTCCTAATGCCCGGGATTAGTCTTGTCATTCTCCTCTGAATTCTTTCCAAGGATTCTATATCCATTCTGTAATACGGTGACCAGAACTGAACTGCGTAGTCCAGGTGTGGTCTCACAAGAGCAAGATACAGTTTCAGGATGACCTCGCTAGTCTTGTAACTAACACTCCTTTGTATGAACCCAAGTACTTTATTAGCCTTGTTACGAGCAAAAACACATTGTTTACTTGGCTTAAGGTTCCTACTTATCATTACTCCTAAATCTCTCTCGCAGTCGGAATTCTCTATGGCATCATTGTTCATCTGGTATCTGGTTTCCCTGTTTACATCTCCTATACTGAGTACTTTACATTTGTTGACATTGAATTTCATCTGCCATTTTTCAGACCATTCGAAAAATTTGTTTAGATCTTCATGTAGTTTTGCCGAGTCCTCGTCAGATTTAATAACACGTCCTATTTTAGTGTCATCTGCAAATTTACTTATGATGCTGTCTATGCCGATATCTATGTCGTTTATGTATATAATAAATAATAATGGTCCAAGTACTGAGCCTTGGGGAACTCCACTTGTGACGTTGCTCCAATGGGACTTAAAACATAAGAAACATAAGAAAATAAGGAGTCTGCAATAGGCCGGTTGGCCTGTGCATGGCAGCTCCTGTCGAGAGTTACTACCACTCTCTATCATCCATGAATCTATCTAGCCTCCTTTTGAAACTTTACAGAGTTCCCGCACTTACTACAAAGTTGCTAAGCTTGTTCCACTCGTCCACCACCCTATTTGTGAACCAGTTTCTTCCTATCTCCCTCCTAAACCTAAACTTATCCAACTTGAATCCGTTGCTCCGAGTCCTATCCTGCTCGGATATTATAAGAACTTTATCTATATCCCCTTTATTGATTCCTTTCACCCACTTAAATACTTCTATCATATCTCCCCGCACTCTTCGTCTTTTTAGGGAATGCAAGTTAAGTTTCTTTAACCTATCCTGATATGGAAGGTTTCTAAGTCCCGGAATCATTTTTGTCATTCTTCGCTGCACCGACTCTAGTGAATTTATATCCATTCTATAATATGGGCACCAGAACTGAACCGCATAATCGAGGTGCGGCCTAACTTAGTGCCGTTAATGCTCACTCGCTGTTTCCTGTCCTGTAACCACGCCCTAATCCATTTAAGGATGTCACCTTTGATGCCATGAGCTTCTAAATTTCTAATTAGTCTTTAGTGGGGAACTCTGTCGAAGGCTTTGCTAAAGTCGAGATATACCACATCATAATTGTGCCCCTCGTCCACCGATTCGAAAACTGATGAAAAGAATGTTAATAGATTAGTTTGGCAAGAACGTCCGCTTGTGAAGCCATGCTGGGAATCATTGATCAATCGGTGCTTCTCCAGGTGATTTCGAATAGAGTTTGAGATGATTGCCTCCAGTAATTTGCCTACTATTGATGTTAGACTGATTGGGCGGTAGTTAGAGGATAGTGATCTATCCCCCTTCTTGAAAATCAGTATTACATTCGCTATCCTCCAGGATTCTGGTACTACACCTGTTTTTAAGGACATGTTAAACAACTTTGCGAAGGGCATACTTAAACACTCTACAACCACCCGTGGGATTAGGTTAGGTTATATTAGATTTTGCCTTATTAGGTTAGAGTAGCATTAGGGTGTTCAGACTATATTACTGGAAGCAATTTATGTGTTTTGTTAGTCAACGTCGGCCCGCTACTGCTCCAGATATTAGTTTAAATAATTTCATTATCATTATGGTTTACCCTTCGTATTCTTAACCCGTCGTTCCTCACGTGATAAAAAAACATATCCCCATCACTATTTTTTATTCGATGATTTTACACATCAGAAATATAAGCCAATGAGAATAATGAATGACCATACCATTATAACATAAATCAGAGGACGATTTTGTACGTTCCATTTGTATCACAAACGACAAAGACCAACGAATCGTTTTGTGTGTGTGCATGGGTGTTGGGAACATATACTATATATAGGCACGCTGCTCACTGGGCTTGCCACATCAGTTGGGAACGGGGCGACTCGCGCACACTAGCTCCTGGCCGTGTACCCCGGCCAAGGTCAACCCAGCCAACAATAGAAGACCGGTCCACTGGGAGAAGCGGTAAGAAATATTAATATTATTATTTGTCATTGCTTCATATAGTTTTGTACTGGTGATGTAGAAGGGGGGGTTGGTGGTGATGTAGGTGGGCGTTGGTGGTGGTGTTGGTGGTGGTGATGTGGGTGGGTGGTGGCGATGTATGTGGGTGGTGGTGATGTAGGTGGGTGATGGTGATATAGATGGGTGTTAGTGGTGATGTAGGTTGGTGTCAGTGGTGATGTTGATGGTGGTGTAGGTGGGTGGTGGTGATGTAGGTGGGTGATGGTGATATAGGTGGGTGTTAGTGGAGATGTAGGTTGGTGTCAGTGGTGATGTTGATGGTGGTGTAGGTGGGTGGTGGTGATGTAGGTTGGTGTTAGTGGTGATAGTGGTATAGGTGAGTGGTGGTGATGTAGGCTGGTGGTGGTGATGTAGGCTGGTGGTGACGTAGGTTGTTATTAAATTTAATATATCTATAAATTATTTCTTATTTATGTGATCGAAGCATAACTAATAAGAAACAACGCGTAATTTAGTGAATTTTGTTAGTACGTTAAATGCCCTTCATAATACTGACAAGGAATTTACTCTCTCACCCAGGAGACGACTGCGCCACCACGGTGTGTGCCTCACTAAAGTGTCATAACTCATAACCAATTCTTGGTCTCTTACTTTTGTATTCAGATTTGCCACACACGTAGGAATTGAGTCAGTTGATTTTGCACCCCACCCCCCTTATGGTTATTACTTTTTTAACACCAAATAATGGTGCAATATACCGCTGGTCCAAAACGTTTTGCGCGGTGGTAAGTAAACAAACAAGCTGCATGGCAACCACCACTGACTCCCGATTTTACCACTGAACAAGGTCCGGATTCATGAAGGTTCGTACAATGAATATTCCACGTAACTGTATATATTTAACTGGGTGGCTTACGAAATTTCTTTTAGATATTCAGCATAAAAAATTATTTTGCTAATTCCCACTTTACCTAATTATTTATTTTAAATTTATGAATTGCATTAAAAATTGCTGAAATCAGAATATTTACACACACACGCACACACACAACAACTACTACTACTACTCTAATTAGTATAACGATGATCCAGCTATTATACAATGATATGAGTTATCAGGGATGTCACCTTCGTTTGTGAGGTGACTAAAGAGGCCGATACATGACCGGCGACTCATCAGTCGCCATAGGACTTTTGGGAGTATAGAGGTTTTGATGATGAGACATATGATGAGCTGGATGATGGCTGTGCGTGAGTTGATCTATGTGGTGAGGCAGGAGCGCAGGCTGCAACCACAGATCTTGGCTCTCCCTTTTCCTAATCCAGTGGTGCAAGTGTTACAACGAATGGGGAGAGGAGAGTTGCAATGGACTGCCGATAGCCCAGTTTGTTGGGTTTTGCCTTAGTAGCTTGTCCATCATGCATCGCCTTCATACACCGGTGTATCGTTGGGTTCCCATGGTGGTCACCTCTTCCTCCTATACCGCCGTTTGGGGTCTTGTTGGAGTTCTGTAAGCATGTCTGCCTGATGCTGGGCTCCAACACCGATTTTTCGTTGGGGTTTACTCCTGTAGCCTTATACCACCATGGTTAATCTGCAAGGCAGTGGGTCAATGGTTGGTAGGCATCAGGGTACTCTGAAAAAATGGCACTGGGAAAAATTGGCACAGGTAAAAATGGCACAATTTTCATACTATGAAAAAATGGCACAGCAAATTTCACTTCGAGCTCACGAACCACAAACGAACTTACGAGCTAACGAGGCTGTGTTTGAAGCTATCCAGCGCATTCGAGTTAATGATGATGTTTGGTAACTTGCTATATCATCTTTGTTTAGCCCTGACTTCCATTTATACACCTCGATCATATCTCGTGTTTAAATTTGATACATTTGATAGAATCCCTTGGGGTTTGACTTCGCCTCCCGTGCTACCTTCAGTTCATTATTCCACTTTGCTTTTCTTATCTCGGTCTTAACCCTGCCAGCCAATACCTTAAAATAATCTCGGAGGTAAACTTCACCACGATTTATTATCCTACCTATAGCCTTCCTTTGTCCAATAATTTTCTTTAAATAATTATTTATCCATTTAAGGTCATTTTTGTTTGATCTGAGTTTTCTGTATGGTATGTACTGCGTTTGTGCATTAAGTAACTCATTATTTAAGTTGTTGTGGAACTCGTTAACCTCTGATCTCGTTATCAGGACGCCCTCTGTGGGTACATTGTGTGAGGTCACCTCATGTTGTAATGACCACGGTCGTACATGTTAGTTAACATAAAATCAGACGATTTATATTACACTCAATAGCCCACAAAACATTATAGCTATGCTTTCTTTATTTGAGTCCACCGTCTGATCAGTCCGTTTTCTCATCGCTTCAGGACGCCTGAGTCCTCCGTTTTCTCTCAATCTTAGAGTGCACCCGAGACTTCATTATTCCTTAGTAAAGACAGAATTTGATATTGCAACTGTGGTTGCAATTGTTTAGGCTACTTAGATATGTCTGATTACAGTTGGAACATTCAAGATCCATTGTGAGTGATGGTGAAAGCTTCAACTGTCATTATTGTTGGTAAAACTTGTCAAGTAATTGAGTGTCGAGTTTATCAGTGCCCATACTGGGCAGTCCCATTTACACCCAACCCCTATTGCTCATATATCCATCCAACCCATGTTTGAAGCTATCCAGCGTATTTGAGTTAATGATGATATTTGGTAACTTGCTCCACTCGTCCACTACTCTATTTTTAAACCAATGTTTACCTATTTCGCGCCTAAATCTAATTTTGTCTAATTTAAAACCATTGTTACGAGTTCGCTCCCGGTTGGATAGTTTGAGTACTTTGGTAATGTCCCCTATGTTCAGCCCTGACTTCCATTTATACACCTCTATCATACCGCCCCTCACTCTACGTCTCTCGAGGGAGTGCAAATTTAGATGCTTCAACTTGGCTCTGTACTCAAGGTTCCTAATGCCTGGGATTAGTCTTGTCCTTCTCCTCTGAATTCTTTCAACGGAATCTATATCCATTCTGTAATACGGTGACTAGAATTGAACTGCGTAATCCAGGTGAGATCTCACAAGCGCAAGGTATAGTTTTAAGATGACTTAGCTAGTCTTGTAACTAACACGCCTTTGTACGAACCCAAGTACTCTATTAGCCTTGTTTCGAGCAAATACACATTGCTTAGTTGACTTAAGATTCCTGCTTATCATTACTCCTAAATCTTTCTCGCAGTCGGATTTCTCAATAACATCGTTGTTCTACTAATATCTGGTTCCCCTGTTTACATCTATACTGAGTACTTATATTTGTCCACATTGAATTTCATCTGCCATTTTTCAGACCATTGGAAATTTTTTTTTAGATCTTACTGTAGTTTTGCGAAGTCCTTGTCAGATTTAATTACACGCCCTATTTTAGTGTCACCAGCAAATTTACTTATGTTGCTGTCTACGCCGATATCTGTGTCATTTATGTATATAATAAATAATAATGGTCCGAGCCTTGCGGAACTCCACTAGTGACTTTGCTCCAATGGGATTTAGTGCCGTTAATACTCACTCATTGTTTCCTGTCCTGTAACCACGCCTTAATCCATTTTAGAATATCACCTTCAATGCCATGAGCTTCCACTTTACTTATTAGTCTTGCGTGGGGGACTCTGTCGACGTCTTTGCTAAAGTCGAGATATACCACATCATAATTGTGCCCCTCGTCCACTGATTAGAAAACAGATGAAAAGAATGTTAATAGATTAGTTATGTAATATCATCTCTATTCATTGAATATTTTCAGCCTTCGGGCTGCCAAATTATCTTAATAAACCGTTAATTATTATTATTATTTATCACACACACACACACACACACACACACACACACACACACACACACACACACACACACACACACACACACACACACACACACCTGCACTTGCTAGATGACCCACCTCCCGCTTTAAACTGAATCTACCCCAATACTCCCTTACCTCAAATTTATATTCGCTTTTATATTACAAATATAATATACGTAAGCCTTTTATTCTAAATTACTTTCTCAAGTTATATTGTATTTGAACCGTTATTTGACCGCCATTATACTTTCAGTTATGTGGTCCTTCGTGGTGTTATTTCTTACCGTATATCTCGATTCGATGTTTTCATTTAATAAGGAGTGTCTTATTGGTCGATATTATAATGTTTAATTTCGAACGTGTTTTTGTGTTGTTCCCGTGTAGAGGGATTAAGCCACCGTCCTTTCAATAACTCAACACATTTATGTTAAACAGCAGCTGCTTGCTAACATTACTTTTTTATATATTTCTGTAAACATAGGTTTAGCACAAATATAGTGTACACAAAATACTTACAGAAAAAAATTGTATTGAATGGCCTGTATAGAGGTACAGTCGGGGTCAAAAGTCTTTATCACTTAGCATTATCTGGCATCTACTTATATTGTATATATATATATATATATATATATATATATATATATATATATATATATATATATATATATAATAATTTCTCGACTATACCACAAGTGCTCTTGTGGTATGGTCGGTAGCGTTCCCTGGTCCCATGCATTAGGTCGAGGGTTCGAGTCCTGGCTGGGAGGTCGTTGAATATATGTTCAAAATCTGCGTGTTATATGGACTAAAAATAATATATATATATATATATATATATATATATATATATATATATATATATATATATATATATATATATATATATATATATATATATATATATATATATATATATATATATATATATATATATATATATATATATGTGTGTGATTGGGATATACTATTAAACTACTTGTGATCACATATTTTGCTTGAACCAGAAAATGGGATAAAACTCTCCAAAATACCTGAGATCTTCGGGAACTTACATGCCAAATAATGTCAAGTGTTCAAGACTTTTGACTCCGACTGTACATCCTGTTTGAGTTTGTGACCTGCAGCCAAACTTATTATATGTAAGTTCCAACGATTGGCGTGAGTTCCGCCGTTCTCCACTATGAGATACTCCTGATCACGGTAACTCAGGATCCTGTTACTCGTTACACGACTACACGTCCAGCTCAGGGTGCGAGTGGCTTATTCTTTTGAAGTTTAAATATCACGACAAACTATGTTCATGTGCCATAGATTGAGAAAACTGAGCCGTATGTGTAATCTGGGGATTTCATTAAAGTTCGAAAAAATGTATAAATCTTCTCAATAGGAAAGGGATGGTCAAAATAAACAATAGTCGGCACCCTTGTCGATAGATTGTGGAGTCCTACAAGTGAGTATCTTGGAATCTTATCTTTTCACATTATTTCATGACATGCTCATTGGTGTTAAATGTAAAAAGATTTTCAGAGGTTTGTGTCCAGAATATTTCCCAACAAACTTTTTAAGGGTTTGGGATCTGAACCAGCAAGGTACTAGGGGGCAATGATTATAATTTTTTAATAAAGTAACTGGTGTACCCAGTCAATAATGAAACTTTCTCTACAGATATAAATGACTGGAAAAACTTATTAATTGATTTTGAGGACACTGTCTAGTATTAACTGATTGTGGGGACAATGACTAATACTAACTGGCTGTAGGGACATTGAATAATACTAACTGGTTGTAGGGACAATGAATAATACTAACTGGTTGTAGGGACAATGAATAATACTAACTGGTTGTAGGGACAATGAATAATACTAACTGGCTGTAGGAACAATGACTAATACTAACTGGTTGTAGGGACAATGAATAATACTAACTGGCTGTAGGAACAATGACTAATACTAACTGGTTGTAGGGACAATGACTAATACTAACTGGTTGTAGGGACAATGAATAATACTAACTGGTTGTAGGGACAATGACTAATACTAACTGGCTGTAGGGACAATGAATAATACTAACTGGCTGTAGGGACAATGAATAATACTAACTGGTTGTAGGGACAATGAATAATACTGACTGGTTGTAGGGACAATGAATAATACTAACTAGTTGTAGGGACAATGAATAATAGTAACTGGTTGTAGGGACAATGAATAATACTAACTGGTTGTAGGGACAATGAATAATACTAACTGGTTGTAGGGACAATGACTAATACTAACTGGCTGTAGGGACAATGAATAATACTAACTGGCTGTAGGGACAATGAATAATACTAACTGGCTGTAGGGACAATGAATAATACTAACTGGTTGTAGGGACAAAGAATACTACTAACTGGCTGTAGGGACAATGAATAATACTAACTGGTTGTAGGAACAATGAATAATACTAACTGGTTGTAGGGACAATGAATAATAGTAACTGGTTGTAGGGACAATGACTAATACTAACTGGTTGTAGGGACAATGAATAATACTAACTGGTTGTAGGGACAATGAATAATACTAACTGGTTGTCGGGACACTGTCCAGTACTAACTGGTTGTAGGGACAATGACTAATACTAACTGGCTGTAGGGACATTGGGACAATGACTAATACTAACTGGTTGTAGGGACAATGAATAATACTAACTGGTTGTAGGGACAATGAATAATACTAACTGACTGTAGGGACACTGTCCAGTACTAACTGGTTCTGGGGACAATGAATAATACTAACTGGTTGTAGGGACAATGACTAATACTAACTCGCTGTAGGGACACTGTCCAGTACTAACTGGTTCTGGGAACAATGAATAATACTACCTGGTTGTAGGGACAATGAATAATACTAATTGACTGTAGGGACACTGTCCAGTACTAACTGGTTGTGGGGACAATGACTAATACTAACTGGTTGTAGGGACAATGAATAATACTAACTGGTTGTAGGGACAATGAATAATACTAACTGGCTGTAGGGACAATGACTAATACTAACTGGTTGTAGGGACAATGAATAATACTAACTGGTTGTAGGGACAATGAATAATACTAACTGGTTGTAGGGACACTGTCCAGTACTATCTGGTTCTGGGGACAATGAATAATACTAACTGGTTGTGAGGACAATGAATAATACTAACTGGCTGTAGAGACACTGTCCAGTACTAACTGGTTGGGGTGACAATGACTAATACTAACTGGCTGTAGGGACAATGAATAATACTAACTGGTTGTAGGGACACTTTCCAGTACTAACTGGTTGTGGGGACAATGAATAATACTAACTGGCTGTAGAGACAATGAATAATACTGACTGGATGTAGGGACAATGAATAATACTAACTGGTTGTAGGGACAATGAATAATACTGACTGGCTGTAGGGACAATGAATAATACTAACTGGTTGTAGGGACAATGACTAATACTAACTGGCTGTAGGGACAATGAATAATACTGACTGGCTGTAGGGACACTGTCTAGTGCTAACTGGCTGTAGGGACAATGAATAATACTGCCTGGCTGTAGGGACACTCTAGTACTAACTGGCTGTAGGGACACTCTAGTACTAACTGGCTGTAGGGACAATGAATAATACTAACTGGCTGTAGGGACACTGTCTAGTACTAACTGGCTGTAGGGACAATGTCTAGTACTAACTGGTTGTGGGGACAATGACTAATACTAACTGGTTGTGGAGACAATGAATAATTCTAACTGGCTGTTAGGTGTGTGTGGTGGTGTTGGTGTGCAGATTAGTGGATATCATGAGGTTGACCTGACCTTATGTTTTTAAGGTCACCCTGTATATTTAAGCCTCTCTCTGTCCATGTAATCCAGTTCTTCTGAAGATGTCTTGAATAAAGACGAAAGCTAAGGTGCTCCGTTGTTTCCCTTTTCCCGCGTGATTTTATCATGATTTCTCTTATCCACGTTTTCACTGTGGATCTACATGAAATATATATATATATATATATATATATATATATATATATATATATATATATATATATATATATATATATATATATATATATATATATATATATATATATATATATATATATATATATATATATAGGGCGAGAGAGTCTTTTATTATCAAGGGAATTAAAGAAAATAAATCGAGAGATAAAAATAAAATGTATGTTAAAAACAGTTCAATGTGACCTTTTATTTTCAGCCGCGTGTGCATGTGTGTCTCCTGCTTCATCGGCGAGTCACGGCTGCCAGAAGAGTGTCTCACAGCAGGAGTGTCTCACAGTAGGAGTGTCTCACAGCAAGAGTGTCCCACAATGGGAGTGTCTCACAGTAGGAGTGTCTCAAAGTAGGAGTGTCTCACAGCGGGAGTGTCTCACAGTAGGAGTGTCTCACAGTAGGAGTGTCTCAAAGTAGGAGTGTCTCACAGCAGGAGTGTCTCACAGCAGGAGTGTCTCACAATAGGAGTGTCTCACAGTAGGAGTGTCTCACAGCAAGAGTGTCTCACAGCAGGAGTGTCTCACAATAGGAGTGTCTCACAGTAGGAGTGTCTCACAGCAAGAGTGTCTCACAGCAGGAGTGTCTCACAGTAGGAGTGTCTCAAAGTAGGAGTGTCTCACAGCGGGAGTGTCTCACAGTAGGAGTGTCTCACAGTAGGAGTGTCTCAAAGTAGGAGTGTCTCACAGTAGGAGTGTCTCACAGTTGGAGTGTCTCACAGTAGGAGTGTCTCACAATAGCAGTGTCTCACAGTTGGAGTGTCTCACAGTAGGAGTGTCTCACAATAGGAGTGTCTCACAGTAGGAGTGTCTCACAGTAGAAGAGTCTCACAGCGGGAGAGTCTCGGCAATTTACGTATCCTTATTCTGCATTTTCATTGCTTGTTAATTGTATTAAGCTGTAAATTGAGGTATATCCTGCTTTTTGTTCTTGTCTTTAAAATGAATGAACTTTCCGGTTGAAGAACTGTCAAAAAATTCTTTGATTTGGTTCACTGGAATTGAAGAACAGTAGCTCTGAGCAACACAGGTGTAGTACAAAATGAGTGTATCTAGTGAAATCCTCACTATTGCGGCACTTGGTCGGCCTTTCCGCCTGGGGATGCTTTATGATTGTAGGAGTGAGAAACTAATCCCTGGAATAACATTATGGGACAAAGTAACACTCGAAGAAAAAACAGTTCAACAACTTGAAACATCCGACTTTCATCTAATTGCTTCCGACTCTCTGGAAAACAAAACTTCAGCTCTTGACGTAAATGCCAGCTTGAAACTTAGTTTCCTCGGAGGTCTGTTAGAAGTATCCGGATCTGCCAAATACCTTGACAACAGGAAATCTTCCAACCTGCAAGAGCGAGTAACACTGCAATACAAGTGCACCACCAGGTCTGAGGAGATGACAATGGAACAACTGGGTCATGGCCGAGTGCAACACCCAGAAGTGTTTGATCACGGTACTGCCACACACGTAGTCACTGGGGTAGAGTATGGGGGTCAAGCTTTCTTTGTTTTTGACCGTCAACACTCTTCATCCTCACACTGCAAGGAAGTTCACGGAGAGCTGCATGCTATGGTGAAAGCTATACCAACAATACAAATAGATGGTGAAGGACAAGTGGATATATCTGAGGATGAAAAGAAGAGGACAGAGAACTTTTCTTGCAGATTTTATGGAGATTTTCTGCTCCGAGAAAACCCTTGTTGTTATGAAGATGCGGTTCGGACCTATAAGAATATACCAAACCTTTTAGGAAAGGAAGGACAAAATGCTGTACCAGTCAAAGTTAGGTTATATCCATTAACATTACTGGATAGTAAAGCCAGCAAACTGGTTCGTGAAATAAGCACAAATCTGATAAGTGAAACAGAGCGAGTCCTTGAAAATCTTTATGAATTAAATGTAAAATGTAACGACTTATACAATTCAAATGCTGCCAAGAAGTTTCTTCTCATTCGGGAGGAGATCTCTAAATTTAAATCACTAATTGCTGTTTACAAAAGTGGACTCCAGAGAGAACTGTCAGTATTACTGCCTCGCATCAGAGGAGGTGGTGCTGAGGAATCTTGCTTAACAGATATTCTCAGAAAGAAAGAATCCTCTCCATTCAGCTGCCATGACCTACATGTTTGGATCCAAGACAAGGAAAAACAAGTGAAAATTCTCAATGAATACGTCAAAACACTCTCTGAGGTCAAGTTTATGTCAGAATATGGAGATTTAGAGTCAACAATCATGAGCCCAGTGAATGATTACACTGTTTGTTTTACTCTTCTTATGCCAAGAAGCAATTTTCATCGTCAAAGGATGGAAAAATACACTAGAGATGAATATGACACTAAGAAAGAAGGCGACATAGTCGGAAAGGAATTTGAAAGCGACCAGAGAGCCGAAATTGGCGATGAGAGAGATCATGGGGTCTCCAGGCACCATCTTGGGGCTGCCCTGAGGGACACCAGTGATGAAGAGAAACGTCTTTGGGATGATGGCCAGAACCCTGAGGCCCTCGGGGTAGACAGCAAAAGTGGTGTGATCTCCATAATGGAGAAAGCCATGCTGTTTAAGAATTTTTTCGAATGTAACAAACTCAAGGAAAAAACTGCATTTATAGTAGCTGAAGATATTTCCAGTTCACATGAATTTGGGGCTTGTATAAGGTGTTACAAGAACGGTCGTCTAGTACAGAAGGATTATAAACTTCCCTCTGCGCCAAGTATGCCACAAGTTGCCAATGAAGAGAATTCTCATGACAGCATAACCATTTATTGGACGGCACCAGAATGTGGAGCTTCAAATATCCAAGAATATGAAATAATTTGCCAGGACTGTGATAAGGAAAATCAACCTCCTAAATTGAGGACTAGTGCCGAGACTTGCAAATACAGAATTCCAAACCTTTACCCCAACTGTAAGTATGAGGTGAAAGTCCAGAGCTGGTGTGAGGTTGGGGTGGGTCCCAGCAGCGACGCTAACCCAGCAGTATCCACCAGAGCAACTAGCCCTCCTGGAAAGCCATTGGTGTTTCAGACCTCATTGACAAGCGTAGAACTACAATGGTCAAAACCAGAGTTTATAGGTGTAGGTTGTAAGATACTTTATTACATAATCAAGCAACAGGATGGAGAAACGACAAGGTGGAGCAAAATTGCACAGACAAAATCAGATGAACTTAGTTATGTGGCAGAAGTTTCGCCTAACACCACTCCAAGGTTCAGAGTTTCAGCTTGTTGTGGTAATGCACAGTACAGTGTGGACAGTGATCCTAGTGGTAACATTATCAAGAAAGTTGATCGTAAGTCTGTGCAAGCCAAGAACTTGAAAATCACGAAGGAAAAATTATGTGGTGCTTCAAAACTTATTGACGTAAGTGTTCCTTGTATTTACTTGCTTGACTCTAAAGAGACTGTATGCAGAGATCATGACATGATAAGAAAATATCAACATGGAGTACGAAAGTATTCTGTTCCTGAGAAAGTCATCATGCTTGTTGGATCAACGGGTTCTGGTAAAACAACCTTCATTAATGGCCTCATCAACTATATATTTGGAGTTAATTGGGAGGATGAATTCCGCTTCAAATTAATAACGGAAGCCTCTGAAAGTAACCAGGCCAGGAGTCAGACTAAATACATAACGTCATACACTCTTCACCATGAGGAGGGCTACAAGTTACCTAGCACTTTAACCATTATTGATACGCCAGGGTTTGGCGATACCTCAGGGGTAATGAGAGACAGGGAAATTACCAATCAGATACGCAACTTCTTCATGACCAAAGGTGTAGACAGTATAGATCACATTGATGCTGTTGGCTTCGTGGCTCAGTCTTCCCTGCCACGGCTTACTCCAACACAGACATATATCTTTGACCAGGTCCTTTCTCTGTTTGGGAAGGATATTGCTGATAACATTTTTCTTCTGCTAACATTTGCTGATGGTCAAAAACCACAAGTACTCAGTGGAATAAAGGAATCTGGCATGCCATATCGAAAACACTTCAAATTTAATAACTCTGCTTTATATGCAAACAACACCTCAAGTGATGAGAACATGGCTCCTGACACTGACAGTGATGACGAAGAAGGGAGCAATAATTTTGATAAAATGTTCTGGCAGATGGGAGCAAAAAGTTTCAACGCTTTCTTGCAGCAGTTGAATACCGTGCAAAGTAAAAGTCTTACACTGACTCAAGGTGTCCTGAATGAGAGAAACCATCTAGAAGTTTATGTCATGGGAATACAGAAGGAAATTAAACTTGGACTAAACACGCTGGAAGTTTTTAAGAAAGAATTGGAAATAGTGAAACAGCACGAGGCTGATATAGACAAAAATAAAAACTTCACATACACAGTAGATGAGGAAGTGTATGAGACCTTTCCTATTCCACATGACCAATATATAACAAATTGCCTCAAGTGTTACCGGACTTGCCATGAAGTTTGTGGAATCAAAGATGATAACATGAAGAGTCATTGTTGGGCAATAACAAATGACAATTGTCGAATTTGTCCAAATAAATGTCACTGGTCGATGCACAGGAACTTCCCTTACAAGTATGTCCTTCAGGTAAAAACGGTAGAGAAGACAGCCAAGGAATTAAAAGAGCGCTACGAGAATGCTATGAAGAACAAGCTCACAGCAGAGGAACTTGTATTAAAAATTCAGGATGATTTTAAAGCAGTTCAATTGAAGGTTCTGGGGATGACTGAGTCAGTGAGGAAGTCCTTAGAACGTTTGCAAGAAATAGCTCTTAAACCAAACCCTCTCTCAACAGTGGGCTATATTGACATTCTCATTGACTCCGAGCAGTCACAGGCACAGCCAGGCTGGCAAGCGAGGGTTCAGCAGCTAAGGATGGTTAGAAAGGAAGCAGAATACATGCAACAGATTGCTGACCGGGGATTTGATCCATTTCAAGAATACAAAAAAAAAATTGAAATAGAGAAGAAAACGAACAAGAACGGTATTTGGTCAAGAGCAGGAGAGTATTTATCTAACATTTTCAAGCACTAATTACAAACTCTCTATGATGTAATAAATTTTTGAAAACATTGTTCAAGAATTATTTAATGCTATGCAACATAAATACTGTATCGTTCTCTTATGATGTTAACTACATTATTTACTGCTTATATTTTGTTCACTGTTGGTCAATAAGTGTGAAATAGAGTATTTCGTCCTCTTCGCCATTTGTTGGCTTACAAGCCGGTTGGTCAGTTCTCTGTTACACACTGTTGACAAGTTCTAAGCACATCCCGGCTCTGGAGTGTACCTAAATATGTTCCAGTCTGGCATAAAGGAACTCATACAGGGTGCTGTCACAACATTCTTTGGCAGATAATTCTAAGAGATAGCAATTCTTACTCCACGGAAGTTAGCCTCGACAATTTTCTGTAATGACAGCTTTTTGAAGTTCTGGTTGTGACGCTCAGGTGGTATAAGAATTAGGAGTGAGCTTTTGGGGTGCACTTCATGCTTTACAAAATCTTCTATTGCGATTATTGGATTATATTATAAACGTAGTATCCCTTCTCACATTCTTTGACATAAGCAGTATGTGCCATTGTACAAAGGGTTGACCACAGACCATATAGTGTATACCAGCTGCCTCAAATAAACATCTGTCCTAAGATTGTTAACACTAGAGACTAGGAGCAAGATTGAAGCATTAGCTGAACTTAACAATGGGATATACCCTTTTGGTAGATGTCTGCTTATCTCTGACATCAGTTCTAATGAAGCAACCAAGTTTAAGACTTCGTTCGATTTATTTTATGTCATCTGCTGTGTATCATATATTTATTTACCTTATTTACCAATTGTCACCCATTGCCAAAGGAAGCAGTCCAGTGAATTTATCATGCAGTCCAACTGATGTAATGTTTCTTTGTAAATTTCTGTAAAGTTAAGAAGTATTAAAAGTTTATACACTTTTAATTGTTATAAAAATAATGATAAATGTAATTATATGCATAATTCTTTCTTTGCCCACTTACTGATTACGTGGGTGTCTATATGTGTGTGTAGTTAGTGCTCTATGTAAGGTAATTTAAAAGTCTGTATTTTCTGGTTAAGGAAAAAATGTGAGTTTAGAGAACTTCTGAAATTACTTATAAAGTGCACGAACTGATCGCTATAAGAACAGCCCAGTCCCAACCATTGTAAAAATTATCAATAACTTGTAATAAACCAGTGTATTCACTCCCAGTAAACACTACTATTTGCACTGTCACTATGTTGAAATGCACTGTAGTTTGAGCTTTTCCCCATCTAGTTATTATATATCTTATTTGTATCACTTATGTTACTTGTATATTATTTGTAATTCGAAACCCATTCCCCAAATATGTAACTGTATATTTTCAGCCTTCTGGCTGCCAAGTTCTTTCAATAAACCGTTAATTAATTATTATTATTATTATTTATTATTGAATGATCTGTTCCAACAACTGTTATTAAACATCAAAACAGTGAACCTCTCGGCACAATTTGCACCCTCTACCACACACAAGCACACCATACACTTCGACATTAAGTTAAGGTAGGCATTATGATACTTTTCCCGAGTTCCTTTTTTATCTCCAAGTTTATATTACGTTCCTTCATCATATTTCCCAACTCAGTGCAGAACGATTCCCAGATACTTGTAGTCAAATAACCTTCAGCGTAATTTTTTTTATGTATAATAATTTATCTTGTCTGATGTTTTCATAAGATATTTCATTGTATTTGTATGTTTATTCTTTCAATATTATTGGGATGATGTTTCATATTGTATATAATAATGTTATTTTGTATTCTTTATTGATGTCTTAGGCCACATTAGTTTTATTTGCGTTTATTTGGATGTTACTACAGACCTTCCTCCTGTAGTGAGTGTTCCAATAAATCAGTTTGTTTTAGTAATCACATAATTATGTTATTAGTTGATAATGATCACCACTGATTTATTCCACTGGTAATTGTCTTTTATTAAAGATATTTCTGGTAATTCTGGTTTTACCTCCTGTATAAATATTTCGTATTACATCTATTATATTTGAGAGTTTACATGTTTTAGTTCTAATTGACTCTTCTGTGAAATAAAATATGAAAATCATCTTGATGAGGATAGAGACAAATAGCCTTTAATAATATTAAATTTTACTGGACTTGTGAAATTTTAGAACCAAAGAAGTGGTCAAGTTACCTTAGAATGACTGAGGAAGTTTAGTTTGATTTTTCAAAATAACGAACTAAATAACAAATCTCTGTGTACAAGGACTACAAAACTACTGTGCGAAGAATTACCATAGAACTATGATCAATCTAACAGGAGTCTTTATGAGAAGTCAGAGTATAGAAATTACCGTGGAGAGAAAAATAATGAAACTTTTAGATAATATTTCAGTACAAATGATTTTAAACTAAAGCGTAACGAAAGGAAAAACTTTGATTAAGGAATGTGAGAGGGAAACACTTATTTCGGGAAACATTAAAGCGTCCAGGAGAGTGTAGTTTACCAGAGAGAAATAAAGTTTGCTGAAAGCGACGAGCTCTTTAACTGCCAAGGTTATACTATAAAAAGTCAAAAGACAATTATCAGTTGGAGTTAGCTAATGGCAGCGTCATAGTTACATGTCAGTACAAAAGCTGATAGAATTAACTTATGTGGAGTAATAATTGTGAACTCTTGGAATAGCCTGTTAGAAAATGTTGAAACAGCATTAGTTTTACCAAAACTGGTACTTGTTAAGATATTATTTTGACCCGAGCTGTACATGTCCAGTACAATAAGATGAAGAGTGGAGAAAAGGATATATATATATATATATATATATATATATATATATATATATATATATATATATATATATATATATATATATATATATATTAGCCCAATAAAGCACGCGGACTTCTACATACAATCAACACCTTAACCGGGTTGAGGTGTTGATTATATATATATATATATATATATATATATATATATATATATATATATATATATATATAAATTCTTGGATTGCCATGATGTTCACTGTTTTGATAAAGAAACCTTCTGAAAACTCCAGGCATACAATGATAAACTACTCCGGAATCACACCAACAGTTCTGAATAATACAAGGACGGACCAAAAGGCCTTGGTGGACAGGCGGCACTGATAGCGTGAAGCGTAGACGGTGAAGCAAGACGTGTGATGGAAAAAAACTGGCAGTTTACAGGATGACGGATGTAGCGATGCCGTCAGCCAGTGGTTTCAAAACAACAATAGGTAGCTTGATTCAGCTAAACGTATTATGTTTAATTCACATTTACTGTAGAAGCAGTTACCAGCTGTTGTTAGGCCAGATGTCATGGTCGAACTATCTAGTAGATATGTTTGAGCTGATTTTGTCTCACTGCTTTTGAGGTTGAAACTCAAGTTAAAAATACCTGTTTAGTAATAAACAATAAGATAAGAAAAAGGACCTTACAGTCCAACAGGAAATGCACCCAATTCAAGTCATGACTATGAAAATCTGTCACTGTCCTTCGTTGTAGTGTTCGTGGCACAGCGGCAGAGCTCTTCCTTCTCGGCGCCATGGATGGCTTCAAGTATAGCACTTAAGGATATATTTTAATGTACAGTATCTCAAAAAAGTAACTGTGTGAAACATTATGAGACCACGGATGATAGATATTGGGACATGCATTTACTTTTGTATATAGTTTAACATATGTAATGCAATGTGTATGTATTTCGGTGTAATTAATATAATGTTTGGTTACCAAATGTAGTAGGATCAGTATGCTTCAGAGCTACTCATAAGGACAGAACCAGACAATGTGATTTAGTCGTGGCCAGAATTAGGCTAGGATACAGACACATCTGGCTTATTGAATCATGAACGATGTAATTATTACATTGAATCAGGAGTGCTTGAGGACATTCTTGCTGTTTTCCCAAATTTGCTAGTCCACACTGATTAGCCCTCAAATAGAATATGGCTTCTACTGTATATGAACCACTGTCCTGCGTAGGAGTGAAAAGTGACACCAACCTCAGACTGAATTACTCAGAATAGGCAAATTGTACTCCCAGCTTTGCCAATAAATTTGTTAACCGCAAAGCCACGCATACCAACCGGGACACCATGGATTGCATGGAGCATATCAGAAGTCATCAGACCTATCCTGGCAGATACTTATTTGAGGTACTGTACTTGTATTTGTACCTAGGATTCTAATAACTGTACTTGTACTTAAACTCACAGTACTTTAAAATTCAAGTACAACTAAAGTAAATTATATTCACTGAACGAACGAGGGTACGTGCGAGGTCAAGACCAGCGGAACAACTAAGGGGCTTTTAAATAATATCATCCTGTCACTAGGGCACGAACGCACACATATCACAGTACACAGAAATTACATCTTGTAGTAGGTGTGATTACAAAAGAAGGCATCACAATAGAGGTAATTTCTTCCCAGAATAAAGTGAGAGGTTACGGAGGTTACCATCATCAGCGTGTATTATTTTTAGTTATTTTTAACGGGGATTAGCCCACCCGGGCACAGGTCACTGAACCACATCGGGGCTTGGGGGGCGAAAATGTAATAATACTAGCAATAATAATAATAATTAGTTCATAGTAAATAAAATTCATAATGAAAAATACAAAAATGTAAATAAAATAATAATAATAATAATAATAATAATAATAATAATAATAATAATAATAATAATTAAATTTTCACATCGTAAATTGTGCTTAAGGCACCTAATGTGAGCTCATTCAAGACCAGACTTGACCAACACTGACAGCAGGCACCGATACATTATGGAGCCAGTACCTGCCCAGTACGTACCAACAGTACTGACTGGGACATGCATGAACTCTTACTCTTGCTAACGGTGTCTGACAGAGAAACGATCGACTTTCCGGACAGCTAGTAAACTGGTAAGTGGTGGAAATTAGATAAAAAAGGTATTGCGAAGTATCAATCGCTGCACTAAGATATTTAAGCTCACTATGCCGTGTATGGTGCGACTAGGATACGGTAACATTGGCTGTTTGGCATCATCCACGCGTAGCTGACCATGGCTTATTACTCTGCTTGGTTCGTCGTCACCGTGACGTTAGCTGAGCTCTCTTCTTCCCCATCTACACTAGACTTATTGTATCTAACTTAAAGTTAGTTTTAGTCAAATAAAGCCATCCGAATAAAATACAACGAAATGTTGGTTTACGTTATACAGAAGTGTTGGGTATGTGTGTGTGTGTGTGTGTGTGTGTGTGTGTGTGTGTGTGTATGTGTGTGTGTGTGTGTGTGTGACGTCAGAGTGTTGGCACTGGCGGTGGTTGCGTTTTCTTGTCGTAGCAGCCATAGTCGCTTCAAGGACACACACACACACTATATTTATGTTAATCACCAGGCGATTACCCTAGGCGGATGTTAAAGCATGCGAGAGTTGAATTAACTTTTCCTCGGGGACTCGCCAAATACACTCACACCAGCCTAGACTCACACATGAGTATCCTCCATGCGCCGAACATTAGTGAGCACTGTCTTACCACCTGAGTATCGCATATTACGCTCTAATTATAAAAGAAGCGACTAGATTATTGTTACCTCTATTAACACAACTAAGTTAAAACATTACTGTTATGATAATGTCAACACGTAGGACCTAAGCGTACCTTTATTCGATGCCATACAAAGTACGGTTGTGCAAGAATCTGTTCAAGTCAAGTAATACAGACAAGTTAAATAAGACTAAGTGACATGCTGATAGCACTCGGAAACTGAGATACTAAGGCCATGAGATATGAGGAGAGGATAATAGATACATTAATGGGTAAGATTAAAGGTAACATGGCAGAGATGACGATGGAGGAGTGAAAGTAAATACTTGATCCCAGAGAGGTAAAGGTTAGGGAGGATTGGTAAAAATAACTCGTAATCCTGAGGAATGGTGGAACGTGGTCACCAATCCAGGTCGA